CATAGACAACAGTTTTTAACCGTGGCCAATGTTTTTACCACGGCTGTTGTGGCGACGCACGTAAAACTGACGCAAAACTGTCGTAAATGTTCCTCCTTATGTTTTTACGATAGTTTTAGGTGCGTCGGCAAAACAGCCGTGGTAAAAACATTGGCTACGGTTAAAAATTGTCGTATTTAAGCTTTTACCGCATTTTTGTGTGTGGTAAATAAAAAAAATGTGTGATTATGGTGTTTTTAACGACAGTTATGCTGCCATCGCAAAAAAAAAGTGATCCATGTGCAGTCTATGTGCACTTTTTTTGTAGTGTGATTCTCTCTAGGATTGGAAGATAAAAGTGTTAATCTCAACGTCATTTCCACCATATGAGATTCTCTCTAGGATTGGAAGATAAAAGTGTTACATGAGAAGAAAAGGTATTGGCTTGTTGAATCCAACCCATTTTTTTTGTGAACACTATCAAGGACGGATCAAGGATTTCGAGTCAAGCGGGGCGAAATTTCTTTTGTGAACGGGGGTGAAGAATTTTATGCTAATGTAGTGGATTGATTTTTTTTTTTGCTAGTGTAGCGGGGCGAAAATTTTCGCTAATATAAGGCTTTGCGGCTAATTTTATTCAAAAAAGGTCCTTTGATACACATACACGATGATATTTAAATCTATAACATTCTAAGTTTATTTAGACAATGAAAAAATAACATAGATTTTATAATTGAAATGATCTGAAAAAAGTATTAACACATTAAAGCCTAAGAAATGGTAAATCAAAGAAAGATAATTTGAAAATAAAAAAGAATATATAATATATTATTGATGAAATTATTTGAAGAGAAATTTAAAAGTTTCATATCTATTAATACTTTTTAAATAACTTCTGTCTTTTTAACCACATGAATCTTATCACAATAAAGATTTGATTTTTGAATTGCAATAGTATATGTATGAGTTTAATATTTTTAGAATAATATTATGATACTAATCTATACATATATATGGTGCATAAGATATTTGTATCAATGCTAAAATAAGTTAAAGCCGGTTTGTTATATATGCAATAAATTGTTTTTATGAAGTAAGAAGTAAAAGAATCGTGTAAGTTAATGTCAACAAACATTTATATTTTAGATTCACTTCACATGATCTAAAATTGTCTAAGTAGTGTGACTGGTCTTTAATTTTATTTGATATTTTCCAAAATCGAGTACAAATTATCTAACAAAGATAATTTTTTTTGGAAGAATCTAACAAAGATAATTAAACATTACAAAACTAAGAATTCTTATATAATAAGTATCCTAAGTTGTAAATAATGAGTTGTTTCTATTGTTTATTTGTTCAAGTTATGTAAATTATTTTAGATGTTCCTTCTTTTAAATCTACAATTAAGTATTACATTATGTACGACTATATATTAATTCTAAACCTAGAAGTTAAGGGGGGCGAACACATATATACCTAACTAAAATATATGAAAATTTTATGAAAATATTAAATATATAATAGAAATTTTTTAAAGTCCAAGGGGGGCGGTCGCCCCCCCCCCCTAAATCCATCCCTGAACACTATTGCTAGTTCATATTATTTTTATGAAGACTCTTAGTAAGGATTATTATTGTAAATAAAATCCTAAAAAGTATGGATTATTTTTGTGAATTTCACCAAATAGTAATTGTTTTATTTTATTTGACAATAAAAATTGTTCATACAAGGGTTCTGCACATAATTAATTAAAACTCAGGGACATATGACGCATGTTTTTAAATCATATAGAGCTAATGCGTTGATTTCCCATATCAAGGGATGTTCTCAATTTAAGATTCTCAATTACTATGTCTTATATTAAGATTTTATTGAGAAAACTATCAAATAAGCCCCCGTACTATGCCGAAAAAGTCGATTAATATGTAAGTCCTCGAACTATTAAAAAACGTTCAATTAAGCCCTTTCGGTCGGTAAGTAACCGGTTTCCCGGTTAAATGTAACCCGTTTCCCGGGAGCCGCCATTGCTGGGGTTCGAGCACATCGTCGTCGCCGTTTAACCGGGAAACCAGTTACTTACTAATCAAAAGGGCTTAATTGAACATTTTGTAATAGTTCGAGGACTTAATTGAATGTTTGTAAAGTACGAGGGCCTAATCGACTTTTTTGGCATAGTCCGAGGGCTTATTTGATAGTTTTCCCGATTTCATTTTTCTTTTTTAAAAAATCAAGGTGCATGCATGATAGATGATAACTCAGTCATTAATTACTATTTTAAACACATTCATCATGACATAAATATTCATAAACTATTCACCCCATTATATCTCCACCTACCAACCTATGATTGACCCTACTCACTCACCTTTTTAAATATTTTCTCCCTATGCTATATTTTCAAACAATTTTACTGCCTTAATAAGAGGAGCTTTTGAAATTTTCTAATTTATTCTTGTCTGTAAATTAAATTAGGAATTAGGAAGGTTACGTTCAAACTCTAGCTAGCTAGCTAGTATCTTAAGTTAACAGTCCATTGCTCAACCAATTGATCTTAATTAGGCCTTTGAAACCCACCAATAAGTTGCCGTAGTGTTCTAATCTTTCTTAGTTATTGGGTTATAGCTAAAGGAATTAAATTGCTTATGGATTATTCCAAATGAAGGCAATCATCATATTAAGCCACGTAATACATTTCAACAAAAGAAATATATTAATGCATAGAGAATTGGTACAACACGTACATTAAGAAAACTAAACATTACGGAGGAATATTTAAGTGGTGTGCATTACGTACCAGCATCCTTGCTTGTTAATTACATGCAAAACATTCGTAACAGTGTCTTGTGAGCAAATTTACACTTTTTCTTAAGAGAGAAAATTTATTTAAGAAGGATAAGGGAGAAAGACGAAGCATAATAAGTGAGTTGAATTGCTAAGAAAATGAATAACGTATCAGAATTGGAAAAATAGAGTACATCGATATAACTATTGTGAGTGACTCAAAAAAGTTTTTTTTTTTTTTTTTGCAGAGACTCAAAAAAGTTTTTGGACAAATTAAACCAATTTTGTTTTTCATATATACTAATATACTCATTAATGACGCTCACCAGAATATAATTGCTTGTTGAAGCTTTAAATAGTTATGATCATATGTTTTCCACTTTCATATTTTTTGTATATATCCTAATTGTTGTCTCCTATGACTATGTTGTTATTTTTAATTTTCACAAAATATCTAAGCGTGCCAACTATTTGTAGAGTGTAGGGGTATACAACTTGTTTTAGAACTTTCACAAAGTAGTGGGATTGTTGTTGATATCACTCCTCTCAAAAGATGTTACGTTGAATCAACATCAACACCAATAAGCCGTGAGATACGGTAGTCGGAGTGTGTAAAAACTTAAAAAAAGAAAAGTGACAATTTCGGTACCTTTCTAAAAAATGAGGTATTGTACCTACCAGCATTCATTTGATTGGATCACACCACTTTATCATTTTTAATTTAGATTTAAATTATTCAACTGTTACATTCTCATTGGTCCATGTGGACAAAGGTATGGTACCTTATGAATACCATAAAATCTACCAAAAATAAATTGCCTTGGAGTAATAATGTTTTGAACTACTATCATGTTTTTTGATCCCTAAATAGGAGTAATCTGCCAAACTAGGAAAAAATGTCATGTTTAAAGCGTAGTAATGCAAAACTTGACAAAAATTTACTCATATTCAGGAGATAAAAAACATGATAGTCATATTTGGAATTTCAAAAAGTTTACTCCCATTTAGGGAGTTCTCTCTTGAAAAAAATTAGGGAGATTGCCTCCAATTATTGTCTCATAGCATATTTGGTAATATTTGTGCGACTTCAATTCATTTTTACTTTATTCCCACTTTATATATCAACTCATTATTAACCACATAATTCCACTTTTCTTAAAAACCATACAACTCCCTTCCATCCCAATATTAGGAGGACGTAGGGAGTAATATTGTACTACGTATTTTTTTATTTCAAGGTGTCTGGGTAAAAAGGGTTGAAACTAATTTTACGGGGTTCGAACTCAAAAATTCTCATATGGAAGAGTGAGTAGCGCAATACTAATATTATCTTTTGAAGTGATAACTTTTGCTTAAATTATGGATTTGATAACTAAAAAATGAAAGTAATGAGTGATTTAAATTGCTTCTCACTTCTTTTATTTTTCAAAAATTATTCTTTTTCTTAAAAATCATTTGTTTAAACTAGAAGCAATCGCTCTAAAAAATTACTCCCTCCGTCCCGAAAAGGTTATACAAAGTTGTCATTCACGTGGATTAATAAAGTAAAAACTATGTGGTCGAAATTTGTGCAGAAGAGATAAAATTAATTTTAGCCACGTATTCCTTACTTTAAATAGAAATGACAAATCTTTAATTTTGGGACATCCGGAAAAGGAAATTTGGTCAACCTTTTCAAAAGAGAGGGAGTACCTTAATTGGTTGACATGGGTTCTAGGTTAGGAACGGTGAGATTGTGTATGGATTTGGATCTTAGCAGGTCTGTGTTGGGAACGTTTAGGCTTTAAGAAGGGGCACAAATATATTTTGCATTTGAATAAACAAAGTTGGAAAAAATTAATGTCATGCTCTTTCTTCTAAATCTCCATATCTCGTTAAATTATATATTCTCTCCGTCCCGGAAAGAATGTCCTACTTTGACTTCACTCTTATTAAGATAAAGAAAATTTTGAGTTTGACTTTCCAAAAATACCCTCACAAAGGTGAGGATATTACCCTTAATACCCCCACGATAAAAAAAAGAAAGGGAAGGAGGGTTGACATAAAGAGAAGAAAATGAGTGGACATTAAGGATGTTCTTACTTGGACTGTAATCTGTCCTAGACCAAACCAGACTAGACCAGACCAGACCAGACCAAAGCAGATTGGACCGGACCAGACTTGGATAGTTATAATAATACAAAGAAACCAGACATTACCAGACCATTCAGACAAGACAAGATCAGATCAGACCAAACCAACAAATTATAGTCTAAGTAAAAACATCCTAGGCATTAAAGTACAATGTCTAATTAGACAAGATGGTACGCTACAATGCATACCAATTTTCTTCCAAGACAATTTGGTTGCCAAAAAATTGAAACTCCCTCCAAAATTAAACTTCAAAAGTTTTTGCACTTTCTAATCTACCAATGGTCTACATCTATATATACACCACATTCATTACAAGTGATTAGTATTCAATACAAGGATTCAATGGACACAGGTCAAGAACAGTATGTGGCTTCACTGCCACTTCCTTTTGCACTCTCCTTTGATCTCAACGACTTGCCCTTGGATGTGGTTGATTTCAGCCCCTTGTCACCCGCAAACAGTTCACAACTAGAAGATGAAGCGAAAGAACCTACAGTTCAAAGGCAAATAGGTATCAGACAAAAATTTAGCAGTGATGATAGGAAAAGATTAATTGAAAAGTTGTTAGGTAGTGCTAGTGAAGAGAAACTTTAGAGGGGCATCATTAAGAACACAGCAACATAGTTCAACATTACACCCCGCAATGTGCAGAGGCTGTGGAAGAAAGCAAAAGAGCACATGCTTGAATGCTTTATGGTGATCATTCTACTAATTAAACATATAATGAGTGTTTAATTATCATATTATTGAAAATATTAGCAAATGAGTGTTTTCAATCATGTGTAGTATATGCTTAACTATATCAGTGCTTAATTATCATAATATTGAAAAGTAATATATATATATATATATATATATATATATATATGCATACATAATTCTATTAATTAAACATATAATGATACCAATGGGTCATACTTTTGTATGATACTAAGGTGTCATATAGTTTAACAATGTTATCACATCATAGTATTTTGTGATATTGTGGTGCCGTGGTTTACTGACATTTTCTCAGTGACACTAAATTTAGTGTCGGTATTCCCAACCTTCTGCGACGTTTCTCTTGTGTCACAAAAACATTTTGTGACACTAAATTAGTGTCACTACTATAGACCAATTTTCTACTAGTGTAAGCCTGTAAATAAGCAAAGTAATTGGAAAGAAAATGTGGGCGGAAACGGGTAGACTTTGTTCTCAAAAGCTTTCTGAAATACCATTGCATCATAGAAAAATATCGTGCTCTGGTCTATGCAATGCAAGTTTGTAAATACACAGTCTATAGATGGTTTGAAAGATGGCAAGTTAAAAGACTTTCAAGCGCAGTGAAGCCCTTGTTGAGTGAAGTTGGGAAACTGAAAAGGTTAGAATATTGTTTAACTGACATAAACCAAACTTCCCTTCCTAGGAGGCCTACTTTTCATGATTTTCAGAATTGCATACACATTGATGAAAAGTGGTTTTACTTATCCAAAGAAACAACCAGGTTTTACACTCTGCCAGCATAATATGATCCATACAGATCAGTGCAGTCAAAAAATCATTTATAAAATCATGTTCTAGGCAGTGGTTGGTAGGCTTAGGCTGGGACAGAATGGGGAAGTGGAGTGGGATGGTTAAGTAGGTATATTCCTCTTCAGTTATGAAGAAGCGACCAAAAGATCTAGCAAAAATAGACCTGCTGGGACTCTATAGACAAAACCAATCACATGGGTGATAAGAGCAGTAATTAAAGATATGCTATGAATACAATTCTGCCAGCAAACAATTAGAAATGACCAGATTCAGAAAACAGAAATGTCACGATTCAACAAGACAATGCAAGACCCCAGATTCAAGTTGATGACCCAGAGTTTGTTAAGTGTGGGACAGACACTGGTTGGAACATCCAACTGATATGTCAGCCCCCAAATACTCCTGACTTGAATGTCTTGGACTTGATCTTCTTTAGAGCTATTGATTCAATAAAAGATCAAAATGTCCCAAAGAGCATTACACAATTAATTGAAGCTCCCCAAACTGCTTTCAATGACCACACAGCTAGCACTTTGAACAAGGTTTTTCTAAGCTATCAGTGTGTAATGCAAAGTGTAATGCAAAACAATGGGGGCAACAATTTCAAGTTGCAACACATGGAAAAGAACTCACTAGAAAGGCAAGGGTACGTTGTTACCAAGAAATATCCAGATCAATCTAGAGCTATATGAATCAGCTAGGGTATTCTGAATGGACAAATGGCAACTACCAACAATGCAGAGCATACTGAAGAAAAGTTCATAATTGAAGAGTAGATAATTCTTCACATATATATGAACTGCTACAAATGTTTTGCAATCACAATTTTACTTTTTGTGTTTGTAAATACAGTTAGTGTCTTATAATTTTTTGTGTGTACATGTACACACCTAGAGTACACATTATAAATGTACTCGCATGTACTAGGACAACTTTTTTGTAAGCTCAGATGCATTAAGTCGTGATTAATTTTTTCCAAATACAATGCACACACACAGATCCATCATGTAAAATGCAATGTTAATCGAGCCTCCTACAGTTTGTGAGACATAAAGTGGATTGCTAGAATTACAGTTAAAAACATATGCAAAACATTCGTACATTCTAGTTGAACTCAAACCCCAAATCATCATAAGTTTTAATCAACACTCAAACCCTAGACCCCTTATCAATCAAATGTAACTCAATCCCCAAATTCATGCTTCAATTGTAACTCAAGCCCCAATTCATCAAACACATTATAAAATTAAGGACAGAGATAAAAGTAGAGGGTACTACCTTTAAAAGTGTCATGGTCAACCATGGCCAGTGCATGTTTTCGTGTTCCTTCCGCCACTGCTGAGCATACCTCCTCGCCGTCCTCCACGCCTTCCAGCCCAGCAGAAGTGTCATACAACAACTTGTCTCCATAGATCTCCCTCCAAGCCCAACCTGGATCGGTTTGAGACTCACCGGAGTAACCGAAGTGAATACGTAGGGGCATAGGATTGGGCTCCTATGCATGTGACATCAGAGGTGAGACCGGATAAGAAACCAGATTACAAATTGAATACGTTTGCTCCTAAACATCTGGGATCGGTGATGCATGCTATTAGGTGAGAAGTTCTGAGTTCTTAATCGGGCAGATAGGGGGTAAAATTAGGTTTCCTTTCCATGTACAGGTCAGGTCTCGGAGATGAGCGATTGTGATGGAGAAATGAGGTAGGTATGGGTAACGGCAAAGGAGAAGAAGTAGGGGGTAGCAATGGAGGAGGAGAAGTAGGGACTTGCAGCGGCACAGATGAGGTAAGGTGAGGAGTGGTGAAGGAGATGAGTTACACGACCGGTATGAGAAGGAGATAAGGTAGAGTGAGACGGAGAAGAGTGTAGAAGGGATTAATGGCGTAGGATCGAAATCCAACCGATGGAAGTGGCAAATGAAAGGACGGAAGTAGGGGTATTAAACCCATTACACACATTTTTCTTTCCTAAAATAGAAGCAGGAGTTTCATTTTGGGACTTTCATTTTCTTTCAGGAACAATTGGCTTACATAATCCATTATCCATTAAACGCCACAGGCTAAACATACTACTACCTAAATACTCCTTCCACCCCTTTAAGATTGTCTTTTCTTTTCGGTCCTTTTACTAAGATTGTCACATACCAACTTTAATAAATTTATATAGTTCTAAATCATTTCTACTTTATTAATTCAATATCAATCGTATAAACTTATTTTCCTAATAACCCTCTCTATATTCGAATTGGAGGGAGGTAATAATGAACCAAGAGAGGATTGGAGTGTGGAATTGAGTGCTGAGAATTGCACAACCGGCGTCAAATACTTGGTCAAGAATACTGAGTCAAATGTGAGTAGAATAGGATAAGACTTCATATCCTCCGATGATCCACGTAGTACTTACCTCTGCACTCTGCTCCTTCCGGAATAATCATCTCACCAAACCTATACACATCTCAGCTTATAAATACCCACACTCAGTCCCACTATCTTTCCACAAAAAACCCACCGACAAAACAAATACCGCATAGAATATGGTGGGACGACGGAATGACGACTATTCCGGTACTAGGCCGCAGCGGCCTTGGTTGCTTCTAGTAGTTTTCATGGCCTTTTCTGGTTGTGTTAGCTCCAACAAGGTTTCGCAGGTTGCCACCCTGTGCGAGAATACTAGATATCCGAGGTTGTGCGTTGACTCCTTGTCCGGGTTGACCGGCGGCGGCGATGTCCATTCCGCGGCGGCTGCGCTTCTCAACCAGACGATCTACCAGGCCGACCTCCCCTTTTTTGAGTTTGACAAATTTAGCTCCCACTTCGTTTCTTCACATCCAAAACCCACCCTACGGGCAATAGGTGATTCGTTTTAGTTAATTGTCTCCATCTATCTGATCATTATCATAAAATAATGTACTACATATTTAATTTTAGGCCCAACTAGTCCTAAACTTTATAAAATGTTTTCATTTAAAAAAGTTGATGAGTGTGTTTTTAAATGACAAATTCTTTTTAATTAAACACTTAAAAATTAAAAGTTAGATTAGAAGCACATGCATGTATGGTACTTTAATTTTCTTTTCACTTTTAATTATATTAAGCAAGAAGCTTTTTTTGCATTGTAAACTTTTACTTTTTTAAAAATCATATATTGTTATCAAATACGGGTACTATCAACTTTAGTATTAAACACTTTCTCTAAAAAACAATTTAAACGTCTTTTTATGGTAGAGGCAATCACGAACACCCCTTAATAGACAGGAGTCATTCCTTACTCCGAAAAATATTTGGCATAATATTTAGTTTTTTAGTCGGGTCCCAAAATAATACTCCGAAGTTTTTTTGGGAACAATTCTTTCTAACCTATATAGTATCTGCTTAATGTTAATACCAACATCCTTGAACTGTGATGAGATTCGAAACTGTGACCTCCTCTTTGGAATGTCACAGTGGTACCATCAGACCACAAGGTACTTGGCATAATACTAAAATAAGCATTTCCTCTTATCATTAACTTATAATTATAAAGTTGTGGTTTCTTTTTGCCAAATGACCATACATAACATTCATCTTTACATTCAATTCATTAATTACTACAAGTACTGTCTACAACTCTAGCATTCTAATTTGGGAAAACTGTCAAATAGGTCCTCGAACTTTCATAAAAAAAGTCAATTAAGTCCTTCTATAGGAGACTCTGTCCGGTCGTCGCGATTTGGGGCGGTTCCCGGTAGAATTTTTTTATAAAATTTTTTGAGCATCTTATTCATCAAGTCTAGTTTACTCATGCCAAATTTCAGCTAAAAATTTAATCGGGAGCGCATTCAAATTAATTCGAGAACGCAAAAATGCGCAGTTATCTTCAAGAATTAATTTGAATGTGTTCCCGATTGAAATTTTAGCTGAAATTTGGTATGAGTAAACTAGACTTGGTGAATAAGATGCTCAAAAAATTCCATCAAAAAATTCCACCGGGAACTGCCCCAAATCACGACGGCCGGACAGAACCTCCTATAGAAGGACTTAATTAATCGACCTTTTTATGAAAGTTCGAGGACCTCTTTGACTGTTTTCCATTCTAATTTTATTTAAATTTTCAGTGTTATGATAAAAGTAATTGCATGATATGATAGTATAAGTATTTTATACGGAGTACAATTTTCAAAATGTCACCGTTAATGTATGATGAGGCGGATGAAATAATGGAATACCACCTACGAAAAAATATTATGCTTTATTTCTCACTTTTCTTAAATGGATGTCTCAGAATTAACTTCGCACTTCAATACTTTGCTTATTTGTCAAATTATCTACATCAAAACAGTGTCAAGCAGTGTCAAACAGTGTCCAGACAGTGTTCAAACAGTGCAAAACAATGCACTCCACAGTTGTTTTTGGGAGCATATTAGTAAAATCTCACTGGTTTTAAATTTAGTTGGTAGGTACGGTATATATTAAACCCATATAGTATGCATACACATGATAGATGATTTAAGTTAACTAATTATATAACTATGATATCGGAATTAAAGTATACTCTAACTAAAAATGGCAAATTTTTAACAATATTTTACCTGTTTGCTTTCATACTCAATACAAAATTACTGTTTTCGCACTTCAATCACTAGGAAAAAGGAGTTTTGAAATGATCACCTACACTATCACACTATTGGTAGTTAGATTATAATATGTTATCCGCAGGTAGAAAGTAATTGAAAATAATGGGGTTTTATTTGGTGGGTTAAGCTCTCATATTCATATAAGAAACGACCAATCTAGGTGTTTGGATCTGATTCTCAAAACTGATTCTGCTCCTTCAGAGAGCAGAAGCAGAAGCTGGAATGTTTGAGTGAAATTCCAGAAGCACTTCTGGAGCTCTAATTTACTCTCAGAATCAGTTTTTTTTAGAAGCTGGGAGGTACCAGCTTCTGAAAACTGATTCTGATTCTGCTTCTGCTTTTAAAAAAAGAAGAAGAAGCAGAATCAGTTCCAAACACCCCCTATATCATAATAATTACATAATACGTAGTAATAATTACACGTGAATTATAAATTTTAATTTTAATTTTAGTTAAATTTTAATTTCCCACAATACAACTATGTCATTTCCCCCTAATATGATCTGATAGCATATTATACCAAATATGTACGACTAAATTTTAATTTGATGTGCTGAATTGGGTAAAATTAAATATTACACATGATTTAAATCTTATATGTGTTTCTCATAATCCAACTATGTCCTTCCCCCTAATATGATAGCATATGAGATGCATTCACATCATTGGGGAAGAAGCAATCTAACTCAACCGGTCGCCGACTCATCTTTGATTTTATGGGAGGTCCCAATGAAAAGAATTTGAGCCCAGTTTATCCCAGTATAAAAAGAAAGAAAACATCCCGGAAGTAAAATAATGGTTACTCTATTTATAAACTTTGTCCTTGCTTTATTCTTGTTTATATCATTTTCTCTCTTTTACTGATCTAAAACATTCGAAATATAATTTTTCTTAATTCAATATAGATAGGATTTCACTTATTTGAGGAAATAAGATGTTTAAAATATATTTGCTTACGTTGCCTTATTTTTCGCTAGTGTCCTTAATGGTAGATATAAAATATTGTTTTTAGTTTTGGATTGTGTCAAGTACAACATAGGATAAACGATGAGAACGCATCATCCCTTATGATTGATTTAGAGTTACCCAAGTGGGAATTAACGAATCCTATTGCTCATGAGTGGGTGATAGTTTCTGGTCCGAAGGCGCATGGGCGTAGCTAGGGGTGGCCAGCCTAGGCCATGGACCACCCCAAATTTAAAAAATGCTTAAATTTTTAGTGTAAAAAATTCCGTGTAATTTTTTCCCCAAAAATATTCCTTGTACCGGTCCGGTCCAGCCCTGGCTCCGCCCTTGCGAAGGCGTGTGATCTAATAATGTGTTCTGGTCTTTCTTGCTTGTGTATTGTATCTGATTTTTTTCTCTCTAAAAAATCAGATGCACTAATTTAATTTTGAAATTTCTAAATGCGGTTAATTTTTCATATGTAGGTTTTTGTAATGAAATGATGGAAATGAGTCGACAACGACTAAATCAAGCCATGACGGATCTAAAAGAGTCACCGGAGAAGCAGAAGCAGGACATCCAAACATGGCTGAGCGCCGTCGTGACATTCCAACAAGCTTGCAAGGACTCCGTCGACACTTCCGCTCTTTCTTCTTCTTCTTCATCTAATACGAAAGAGCTATTAGCTACGATTTCCCACACCGTAAGTTTTCACTCCCAACTAGCCAGTAACGCATTATCACTGGTCAACCGCATGACGGAAGATGTCGGCGGCGGAATCTCCGGCAGGGGTATATCCGGTCGCCAGAGGAAATTACTGCAATCGGCGTCGGACAGGAGCAAAGCCGACGTCGTCGTCGCGAAAGACGGGACCGGGAACTACAAAACGGTGTCGGAGGCCGTTCAGTCTGTTCCTGGAGGCCGACGGTTTGTGATTTACGTGAAGTCGGGAGTTTATAAGGAAAACATTCACATCAGTAAAGACGGCGTCACGTTGATCGGAGATGGGAAGTATTCTACCATCATCACCGGAGATAGTAGCGTCGGCGGCGGCTCTTCTTTGCAAGGCTCTGCAACTTTCGGTTAGCTCTCTCTATCCTGAATTCATTGCAAACCATTAGGCATTGAAGAGATCAAATCAGATCACTTAATTAACAAGACGGGGTCGGACCAAACCATGATAATACGTATTAGATAGGGAGGGTTTGCAACTGCTTCTGCTAAAAAAAAAACCACTTTTAGAGATGTAAGGAAAAAGTAATTAGTAGTAAAAGTTGATAATGTTTGAGAAAAAAGTGATTTTGAAAAGTAAAAGTTGATAGTGTTTGGTAAAATAAGTGCTTTTTGTGTAATAGAAAAGGGAAAATGCACTTTTCACACGCAAGCCGAGAAAAAGTAAAAATTGGTAGTGTTTGGTAAATAAGTGCTTTTTTAAGTGCTTTTTTCAAATAAAAAGAAAGCTAGTAAAATGACTGCAATACATAGAGTAATATCAATTAACTAAAAATTTGAATTAAATAAATTAGAGTAGACCATATCAAACTAATGAGACAATTATAGTTGAATTAAAAACATCCTTAGTATCAGTCAAAGCAATATTGAGTATGTTTTTATTTGGACTCATTTTAATCACACACCAGATCAGATCTGACCAGACATAAACAGATCGCACCAGACTAAACTTCAAGAGATCACACAGACTAGATTTCAATGGTTACAAAGTACACAAAGACCAAACATTTATTCGACCAATTCAGACCAGATATGACTTTATTAGACCAAACAAGACCATATTTCGACAGTTATAAACTACACAAACACCAGATACTCACCCGACCAGAATTGATGAATAGATCAAACCATAAAATCTCAATCTAATTAAAAACATTCTAAGTTCATCACACTTGAACTGTCACGATCTTTAAATTGATGTTGGATCATTAATATGCTAAAGTGAATTATTTAAATTTTGTTTTGCAAAGTATATAATAATATATTTTTTGAATAATTAAAGGCCAAATCAACAAAGTTCGACCCAAAAATTTGAATTTTGAATTTAATTGTGGAAGGGAGTATAAAATGAAGTACATGCTCTGTATTTTTCTTCAAGAAAAAACAAAATTTCATTATATCCGTACGTCTTATGGTATTTATACTACGCATTAATTAGTGTCGTGATCGTGCTTTGAGTATTGATGTACTACTAATGTCCATGATTTGGCTCTTTTGGGTCACTTAAAAAACGATTTCAATATGCTTTGACTGTTAATTTGACTAGCTCCATGTATGACCAGTCAGATTATGTTAGCACAGAAATCAATCTATGTATATAGGCACTAGTTGTATCTATACATATAAAAGTGTTTGTACACATATATTTTTATTTGTGCAATCATGTTTACAGACGAATTTAATCAAAGTGTCGGTATTTGCACTTTTTTGTTAGGAAAACTCAAAGTCTTATATAACGTTTATAATTTTTCGATGTGAGACAAATACTTTAATAGATAGGCTTCAATTGATGAGAATTCTCATGTTGAGCCTAGAATGGTAGAAGACAAACAAACAATGGTGAGAGAAAATTGGATGGTGAACGGTGTCTATACCAATCGCGCTAGAGACCAAGTTCTAATATGTACCAACTCATTTCAGTTTCTCGTCCAAATAGATTTGTGAGATGTCTCTAACAATCAAGCATCTAGAAGGAATTTCAAACCTAGGATAAGCTATAGAGACAAAGTTCTTAAATCCCTATTTGTCTACAAATTTAAAAGCAAGCGAGTCAATGATAATTAGAAGTGAAGCATGAAACAAACAACAAACTGATTTATATAAGGAACCAATTCACATTCACTCTAACTATGTCATTGAGTGTTTAAATAGACAAAGATTAGTTCTTTCAGTAAAACACAACATATTAATGTATAATAACACGATTAAGGATATATATTAGAAATTTTGCTTTGGAAAAAACTATATTAGATTGAACTTACTACCTACTTGACTTCCATATAGGTCATACCTTATAAGTAACTATTACTATTAACACAATTTAGAAACACCATTGTAGATCTTTCATCATCATTGTGATTTTTGTTCATTAATCTCAAAGAGATTATGTGCCCACACATCAACGATCCTTTAATTAACAAGCATTGATGACATATTCACATTTTATAATTAACAGTTTGCCATATTTAATCACACACTTTGATCATATTTCTACATATTGTTTAAGTAATACTTTAATCAGTCGATCGAGATTATGTACCCACACACAGTGGCGGGCCCACTAAGGGTCCCACAGGGTCCCGGGACCCGTGTACTTCCAAAATATTACCTATATATTATCTATATTTTAAATAAAATTAAACAATCTGATTATATGTACCACGAAAGCTACAAAGGTGCTAAAAGACGGAATTGACAGAGTGGAGTAATGCGTGAATTAAGGTCTTTCCATCTACCAAAGGTGCTGGGTTGGATTCTTCTTGACCACCCCTATCTTTCAGAGGTGCTGGGTTCGATTCTTCTTGACCACCCCTAATGTTTCTTTTTAATTTTTTTGAGCTTATTAATCTAAAAGACCAAAATGTTGCTTTGATTTTAATAAAATCCCTAAAATCATCCCATTTTTTCCCCTTCAAAAAAGCTAAGTATGAACTTTGTTAATATGAAAAAGTATATTCCATCACCGTCGATAAAATACATTTTGCATATTTTATACTCCGTATATATCAATTTAATAAAATATTAAGTATATAATGGGTAAACAGTAAACTAATTATACTATGAACTTTTGAGAGGTGTGAGGTAAACACCCTTAACTTGCATATCTAATATGAATATTCCAATTTTTTTTAAAAAAAATTATTTTAGCATAATGATCATATTTTTTTCTTTCACAAATGTAAAATTACAGTGTTGAGCAAATAATTTAAATATTCTAAGCATTTTTAGTGTGCAATTAACATTATAAGCTTGTTTGTTATTGTTATGTATTTCATATATTAAAGCTTAGATTAATAATTTCATCCTTATACATGCCCAAAGTATTTTAACACTATAAGCATACATTTATGAAAGAAAAAAGAATATTATGATGGTGCTAAGATAAATTTTATATACCCTTTGGGTTATTTTTATTACATATGCATGTTTGAGGTGTTTATCTCTCACCTTTTGATTAGAAGTTTTGGGGTATTTAAATTATTTTCCCCTTAAATAACTATAAATAATATTTTTCTTGGATTTGTTTCTATTAAAACAATACACATTTTGATATTAAAATTTTATAGGACCGTTAATTTTTTTATTACTTTTTTCAGGTGTAGAATGAATTTATATGTAATTGTAAAATGAATTTTATATGTAACTTTGTGCGTTATACGAAGTACTATCTTAATGTTTTGATGATGTACTTTAACTATTAAACATTATGCTTCTTTAGTATTTTACTTTATTTTTTATTAATTGTATATTAATTAGAATTATATTATGATAAGGACCTCATGACTCAATTTTTCTGGGTCCGCCACTGCCCACACATCCATAATATGTTTACAATTCACAATCACTAAATACATTCATAAAGTGTATCAGCACAATCCCAAAGTAAGGTTCAAACAACCAATATACTACCCTCAAAATGTAAGTTATATAACACCAAAATCATACAAGTGTGTAACGCACCACAATTCTAGACATCACAAAAGTTGCACAATTTAGAAGTAAAACTTCCATAAATCCGAACTCAGAAATCAACATTTACTCACACGGTGACAATTCATCATTGTACAAATAATTATATTTGTCACATATATGCATTAAATTTGTTCCTAGCATGGGTTCTAATTCCAACATACGAGCATCCAAATTACTATTTGTACACACATATCAATGCCTATATAGAGAAAATAATTGTCTATGTAAATCCTTATGAGATTTTTATTCATTTTCTTCATACAGACACTAGTCACCACACATACACTAGTTGCTTGTAGGTACGCAAACTAAATATTTGTTCACAAAAAATAATATCTCTATGAAACATTTACTCGGGGTATATGTTATTCATATACGGAGTCCGTCCCTTAAAACTTTGTCATCTTTACTATTTGGGACGTCTCAAAGAACTTTGTCCCCTTCCCGTTTAATCAATTTTTTGTGGTTCATGTTATTTCTCATCTGCATAAACTTCAAACACACAATTTTTACTTTATTATTACTCGTGCCGGTCAAACTTAACAAAGTTTTAAGGGAAAGTTTTTAAGGGACCAGGTATATTTCTTCACACACACAAGCATATTTGGTAACAAATCACGACCACTCATTCCAATGTGTATAAAAGTACAAACTAGTGTGCTCTGATGTTTTTTCCGTGGTGACAACTCCGGTACCCGTTTAAAAATTGGGGTACCGTACCTACTATGCATTTGATTGGTCCAAATCATTTAAAGTTGGTATAGTACCTTAAGGCTAACGTAGAATCTACCTTTTTCCGTATTATTAAAGTTGTTTTCTTCTTGTTATTTATCACAGTAATCACCGGCGATGGATTCGTCGCTAAAGATATTGGATTCGAAAACGCAGCGGGACCGGAAGCTCAACAAGCCGTGGCTTTATTGGTAGCTTCGGACCGCTCCGTTTTCTACAGATGCAGCATTTCGGGTTACCAAGACACGCTCTACGCCTTTTCCTTCCGCCAGTTCTACAGAGAGTGCGACATCTCCGGCACCGTTGACTTCATCTTCGGCAATGCGGCAGCGGTTTTTCAAGCCTGCAATCTCGTCCTCCGCCGTCCCGCTAGCTCCCAATCCTACAACGTCATCCTCGCTAATGGGAGGTCAGATCCGGGCCAGAGCACCGGGTTCTCGGTTCAAAATTGTAAGATTACTGTAGGGTCCGATTTCTCTTCTGTGAAGAATACATACCTGGGGCGGGCCTGGAGGGAGTACTCAAGGGCGGTGGTGATCGAATCGGATATAGGCGGAGCGATATCTGAGAGAGGGTGGATCGAGTGGCCCGGATCTTCGTCATCCTCCCTCGGGAAGCTCTATTTTGGGGAATATGCGAATGTCGGTGCTCGGGCCGGGTTGGGTGGAAGGGTGAATTGGCCCGGTTTCCATTCCATGGCGAGAGAGGAAGCCGATAAATTTACAGTGGAGAAGTTCATCATCGGCAACTCGTGGCTGCCTTCCACTGGAGTCTCTTTCGTGTCTGGCTTGTAATTACTTACTCAATGAATTCTTCGGAATTTGTCTCTTTTGGATTAGAAAAATGTTAGACGTGTAGTAAGAATTGGTAAATTATACGGAGTACAATCATACGTTTCGACTTTAATCCAAACAACCTTGCTAGTATCCCAATTAATACCCCAATTTGTACCTAACCCTATTTTTGTGGCTCACAAAAGCACCTCATTAAAGTGGAGCAATTCATTTATTGATGTGGGCTTTTGTGAGCCACAAAAATGGGTTGAGGTACAAATTGGGATACCGATAGCAAGATTGTTTGGATTAAAGTCGAAACAACCTTACTACACGTAAGGTTAAAAAGATGAAAAATAAAAGTGCTACTTTGATTAGAGGTTAAATATTACTCTCTCCGTTCCTTAAAACTTTGTCATCTTTCATTTTAATCAATTATTTTGTGGTTTCTCTTATTTCTCTCTCCTCTACACAAAGCTGAACCACACAGTTTTATTTTATTATTCTTTGTGCCGGTCAACTTTGGCAAAGTTTTAAGGGACGGAGGTAGTACAAGCATAGATCCATTTCTAACTAAAAACAAACAAAAGAAAACGTATCAGAAATATATATCTTTCTTGTGAAGAGCTTTGTGTACGAATTTAAATTTTTGTCGAGCCAGAGCAACTTTTAAACCCTTGCATTAATAATTTAATGCACCCTCAGTGGTAAAGCTATAAATCTATGGTTAACGGGGCCGGTCCTTAAAAAGTTTACATTGCAGGAGCCAAAGTTTAAAATATCAACATATTTTCTATAAATTAAAAGTATTTATACATAATATATGCTTAAGAATATTTTTTCTTGCAGGGGTTGAGGCCCCCTCCAGCCCCTCGGCTCCCTGTCTCCTCCCCTGTGCACCCTCCATTTCATGAAGGTTGACCAGTTTTGACTTAGTCGTGAAATAATAAAGTAAAAATTGTGTAGTTTGCAATTTATATTGAAAAGAGAAAAATATTATAAAACAATTAAATAATTATTTTAAAAGGAAAAGGTCAAGCAATTTAGGATGACTAAATAAGGAGAGTTAACAAAGCTTTTGGATGGAGGAGTATGTATTTTAAGTACTCATTTACTAAATAGCATTAAGTATTACTAAAACAATATTCACCTTTCAAAAAATAGACTCGGTACACTTTTTTACAATCTTTTTATATCCATGTCTTGTTTTTTCATGCACCTTTTTTGTTTTGGCAATAAGTCAATTAACATATATGATAGAAAAAAAATTAGCAAAACCAAAATACTGTTATTCAAATTAAAACAACATTAACTTTAAAAATATATTTCATTACTATCTACATGTGTTCCATGATCGTAACCTCCCCCACGCTCTCATGTGGCGCGTGCATCCTAAAATTGATTATTATTTGACACATAATTGAGCCCTTGTATGATTCACATCATTTAGGCTCGTTATCCAACTCCAACACCTTCATTTATCAACCTATAACTTGTGATATTACCACTTCCATCATCACAACCCTCCCCTCACAACAAATGATTTCTTCTACCTACCAATCACATCATGACTAAAAAAGGGCATTGTGTAGCCTATGAAAAATTATTCCAAATGTAGTAATGATTCCTCCATCAAAAAAGGGAACTACCCTATTTAAATCACAATAAATGCACATTGCAAAGGAAATTAATCTAAGCTAATCAAATATAATAAATAGAGTCATAAGAATGAAGAGACACTTGTTATGAAGTTCTATTTATCATTGAGGTTAACAACCCTAAACTTGCAAGACATGTCTTGGAGGCATGTTCATTGAGTGGGCTGAGATGAAGAATCTAAACAAAGACTAGATGAGACATAAAATATTGTAATGCTCAAAAGGTGTCCAAGTGTTTAATGTCTCCTTAATATTGTACTACATTTAAAAAATCATTAAAAGACGCCAATTCCATTGTCACCCAATTAAAGCTTCATATGTATCATATACTAGTACTAGAAATTAGATCGCACGTTGTGTGAGTGTAATATGCCCAACGCTAAAAGTTGATGAATTTATTTTAAAATTTTTACCATGAAAATACGTAATAATCTGTGAGCAAGGAATATTTAATCTCATTCTAAACAGGGCAGGTACATGTTTTTGGCTAACGAAAGTATACTTCAACATATAACTGCTTAATGACTCAAACTAAAAAAGCAATGAAGCAGTAAGCGCAAATTTTTTATCAAGAAAATGGCTCAAATATAAATGCAACATCAGTCAGGAGATGCAACAAATCTGTCAATGTTGACATCTTCGTCATAATTCATTATTTTTTGGCATTGACTATTAAAAAGAATAGCTAGTTTCTTCTTATTGTTTTGCAGGCTTCCACCCAAAATCTATATACCTTCCTATATTATTTAGCTAAAAACAATGGTCAAGTACTTCTTATTGCTTTGATCCTACCATTTAAACAGGAATTAGTTATTAATGTGATTTTTTAATTACAAAACAGCTATTGATCGGAAAACTTCTTGACCGCATGTTTTGATCCTACCTTTAAAAGTATTAGCATGAATACTAAAAGTACATTTCCTCTTTTCCAGCAACATTTCCTCCTTTCTCAACATTTTTCTAAGTTCCCCATGGCCTTAAATCTTAACCATTTAAGATAGCAAATAAAGAATGTTGTAAAGAAACATTTGTAGCAAACTGCATATGGTTATGATAATCACAATTGGCAAACCCAATACTTTTAATTACTTGACTCGGGCTCATTATCAAATACAAGCCATGCATGCATGCGCAAATGTGATTTTTATGTGAAGTCCTAATTGCATCCGGGTTAATATAAGGGTCTCTAGTTTTACCAGTGATGTATGCATAATGAAACATAAACGAAAACCAGGAGAACAAACACAAAAAAAGAATAAATTGCAAAAAGAAAATAGGAGAACAAACACAAGAAAATAATAAATTGCACCGAATAAACTGCAAAACTTTGAGAAGAGTAGCAAACTCGCCTGTAAGACTCTTGGCCGGCTGCGTGAAAAAAATGCAAAATCTAGAGGGAATTCCATTTATAGGCGCAGCAGGGGAAGACTAGAAGAGTCTAAAATATTCCGAAACCAAAATTTGATTGAGCCCCCAGTAATTTCATTTTGACGCTCCAACTTCTGGAACGGGGGTTGGAAAACATGTCCCTCTGGATTCACAAACGTAGAGTCAATGAAGAGAAGTCATACATACTAACCTAACGATTTTTCAAGAGTTAACCTGACAGAAGTACACACTGTCATCTACAAAATGATTCTCTAACGTTTATTTATGCGTAATAGTTAGTGTATTTCCTAAATGGCACAAAGTACATCTGGACAATGCATAGACGAAGAGGACTTAACGGACAAATGAGCATTTAATAGGAAATATGTCCTTTATTAAAATAGGTTAAGATTCACTGATAATCTACTCTCTATTATAGTTTTTCTTAACGATTTTTTACTTATAATTGTATGCATTCATACCTACAAGCAGTGGCAGAGCATCACTTGATCCATAGTGTTCACATGAACACCCAAACTTTTGAAAAACATGCAAGTATATATGCATGTGTAAATTTAGTCTAATTATTTATTATTCTTTAAATTTCTAATTGTAAAAAGATTTTGAACACTCAAAACTTAAATTCCAAATCTGCCACTACCTAGAAGATTTACTCATTTACCTTTAGTTTTATATATCATCATGAGATTCCAAGATAGAAACACCTAGTACAAACTTATGAGCACAACAAAAGCAAAAACAATAAAGAAGTATAATAAAAGAACATAACATATTATTGAGAGAAAAGTCAAGGAGTTCCATTATTGTAAAAAAGTACATTTGTTTTAATGAGAAAAGAAGAGATTCAACGTTTGGTTATTCAAATATAATGTTTTTATAAATTTGGACATTTCCTCTAAAAACCAATATGTGTAGGATTAAAGCATCCCACCTGTTATGCACATTAGCTGGTTTGCACTCCATTGAACCAAATATGGGGCCGAGTTTAAAGTCGAACCGCACAGCCTAGTCTGATTATAATAGCACATATACTAATAACATAAAAAGGAAAAATATGTGACATTTGTATATATATTTAAGAATGAAAATCATATCAAATACACTGTGAATGTTCCAATGAAAATAACAAATAACATTATTAATTTTGATAGGATGTAAATTATACTTTGAAACAATATAAGAGTGATTTGAATGCTACTACTAAATATTAATATGCTATCATTGTTTGATTATCATGAAGAATAATTATCTTTTATTTTTATAATTACATGATTTGTATTCTATATAGGGGTGAATTTGGTACTAACGGTGTCTATCGTGTAAACTTTTGTACGATGCATCTTTACGTTATTCGTATTGTATATTGAGGTTAAAAATGTGCATATAATTCTGTGATGAAATGCCAGTTGCATATTAACGTTCAAAGAGTTGTATCCAAAAAAAGTTTGATTTTATTACTACAATGCCACGGTGCGATTCCATCCCTTATATCAACTAAAAGAATAACCAAGATAATTTATAGTTTATAAATTAGGAGGAGTTTGTATTTGATCCCTGATGGAGTTAAATCAAACTACGAGAGCTAAATATACGTAGATATGAGAATAATATGGCAGCGTAAGGCAGTTTTACTCTTTATTCCGGAGAATTAGCAATAGTCTAGCCTCGGTTCAGAATCTTATCGGGGGTCCGATCCCTTGGTAGGGTGTTTACATCAAGTATTTATAGAGATTAGGAAGTAGAATTATGAGAGGAATCTAATACAATAAATGCTCAATTAATGAACTATATTCTTGCTCGAAATAGAACTCTTCAATGCTTGATTCCCACACGATTGCTCTCCCCTTTTAATCGCCGTCCTCCGGATGAGTTCTGCTTGTTGCCAAATATATCAACGAGTGATAGCTCGCCACGTAAGCCCTAGGAATATCCCGGCCTCACTAGAACTCCACCCAGGCTCGAGGTCTGCTGTTCAGCCCGGCCTGGTGGTGGGTTCCTATCGTGGGCCTAATTCCTAATGGGCTAAGCGACTTTCAATCATGAATCCCGTTTATGGGCTGATCATGTTATTAGGCTAATCCCTTTAAGGGCTGGTCCCGTTTATGGGCTAATTCTATAATTAAGCTGATCCCTTTAAGGGCTGATCCCGTTTATGGGCTAATCATGTAATTAGGCTGGTCCCGTTAAGGGGCTGGACTACGTAATTGGGCCATGGTCTTAATCCATGGTACCATCACGAGCCCCCCTACTCCTCAAAATTAGCAGGGCTGGATTTGGAGGAGTAGAATTGAAGCGGTTTACTGGATTTCAAATTTCGAATATTTATAGGCGGCTGTAGCTCTGCCTCAGTAATTATTGCGCCGAAGTAGGCCTGCAGCTCGGGCTCAACTTTCAACCGGCTTTCCATTTCCCGACTTCTCGAATCTCCGGATAA